AAAAAAAAAAAAAAAAATTTTGGTCCCATGTCCAAGATACCTCGTTATATATATGCAAATATTCCAAAATTGAAGAAAATTCAAAACACTTCTAGTCCCAAGCATTTCAAGTAGGGGATATTCAGCCTGTAAAAGCAGGAGGTTAAATCAGAGAAAGAACCAACTACCCCTGTTGCATTTTTTTTTTTCAGAATGGCATTTTTTTCTCATGAAATAGCATTTGTCAAGGATCAGGTGGATCAGCACAGATGTGGAGATTGTCTCACTGTCTAGGGAACCCTGAACAAAAGACTCCAGCAGTTTTATGGACCTGGGGAATGGAGGAGGGCAAGGGGGAGGGGTTAAGAGTGGAAAAGTCTTGAGTGCTTAAAATGGAGAAAAAGTAACTTCAGGGTTCCCCCTTTCCCCCTGAGGGAGGCCTATGCTGAAGGGCCCTGATAAAGAACCTCCAAATGAAGTACATAGGCAAGGAATGTAGATATGCATAAAAGCTCTAGGGAAGGGGAGTGCTTGAGTCCCTGAGACTGTAATGCCCTGGCTGTGCACCACCACGTCAGGTTATATCCTTATCCATGTCCCATATCCAGTTCCATTAATTACCTTTTATGGTTGAATAAAACTGCCTTTAATAAGTTAAGACATTTAGCTCTAACAACTAGGTTCTGCTTCATTTTCCCCTGGTCATATGGTGATGATGAGATATCATGCATGAAAAGTTTCAATGAAATATGTGAAGTGACCAGTCTGGTCAGGGCCTAAGATGGATTGACTAATAGTTTACTGACGAGGCTGGTTCTCCATTCTTCTTCATTTATCTCTTTTCTTTGTTTCCAGCTTCTGTTGGCTGTCTAGTCTTTTTCCTGGTAACTTGACTGTATCTTGTTCTTTTAGTTCGGTTTCCAGGTCACTGATGTCCAAGTTGTTTCTTAAGATTCTGAGCTTCTTTGCCTACTCTCAACTTTGGATACTTTTACTTTTTTTGATGACCAGGACCCTAGATTTAGTACATGTCCTTACTTGCTATTTGTGTGCACTTTGACTTCTGCTTAATTATCAAATGATGCCCAAAACCTGATTTTCATTTTTAGTAACTCAATGTACCCTTGTTTTAAACTGATTATCTGCTTCCCAGTTCTTGGCTCAGCTTTCTTGATGATTTTTCGACCTTTCTCTATAAGACCATGACTACATCAAAGTCTTTCCTCCCCAGCACTCTACTTGCCATGGCTCTTCAACTTACAACCTATTGTATTCACAGTGCTCACAAGTGACAACCCATGTCTTTAAGTTGACAGTTTACAACTGTTGTAGCTAAGCAACCCAATAACCAGAGCAGTGTTGAAAGAGATTTTTGTAAAGTTTAAGTCTACTCTGATGGGCATATTAAAATTATATAAGTATTTGTGATGAAATCTGTTTTTTTATAAACATATGTAATATGTATTTTAGTGTATCCCCTTTTGGCCTAAGGATGCTTCTAGTAAACTTCTTATTCAAGTTGAAAGGAGTGAGGATCCTCCCAAAAGGATATATTTTAACAAGCAAGAAAATTGTATTTTATTGCGTCTGGATAATAAGGTAAGTGATTTTTTTTTCGCATATTTCATTAGAAAACTAATACATACTAGTATTTTATTTTTTTTATATTGAATAGTTACCTCTGTTTATTTTTTTCCCTTTCACCAAAAATGAACAAACATTTCTTTTTGAAAAGGAAAAGGTACCAGAAGGTAACAGAGACATAACATAATTTGTTATACAAAAAGTTAGTTGTAGTATCTGGAATAGTAGAATGTACCACATCTGGAATGTCATTCATCTTCATATAATAATTGAGATTCATGGTTTCCCAGAAATGTAATACAAAATTCTGAATTGTTTTTTCAATCATCTCAAAAAATTAAGTTTCCAAGTTTTGAATAGTTTTATTATTAAATTTATTAGTTAATATTCTTGAGAATATTAATGATCCCTTTAAAGAATGTTTTTTTCTTTTAGCTTGGAGGTATTATAGCAGAAGTTAATTTGGCTGAGCATTCTACAGTTATTACATTTTCAGATTATCATGATGGAGCAGCTACATTCTTGTTAATAAATCACACAAGGAATGATCTTGTTCAGTACAAGCAAAGGTAAGAAGATTATCATAAATACAGTAACTCCTGATTTTAGCAGTTCAGGTGATAAAATTGACTTACAATGATTTCTTAAGAATATAAACTGATAATGGCATTGTGGCTATGTAAAACAGTGTCTCATTTTTTAAAAAAATATGTATCCTGAGGTATGTAGGGATAAAACTGCCTTGATATCCACAATTTATTTTTAAATGCTTCAAAAAAAGAAAAATGGAAGAGCTGAAGCAAGTGTGGCAAAAGCTTGATCATTGTTGAATCTGGTGAGGAATATGTCAGGTTTGTTACGAGTCTCTGAATTTTGTCTGTTTTTAAAACTTTTCATATTTTAATATAATGTAAATACTTGAAATTTCAGATTTTTTTCAAACAATAGGTACCTTCTTTTTGTTGAGGTGCTTGGGAAAGGAACTCCTTCCTTAAAGACCATAATTAAATCTTGATGATTTAGGACTACTCTTAAACATCATTTATTTCCATTTGCTTTGGTATCATATCCCCTTAGTGCCACTACTGTTAATGTAGCTTTCTGATGCTCTCCACTTAGTGGTCCCAAGCTGTCTTGAATTTCTTTTGTCTGCTTTCTTTGTTCGTTTTCACCTATTACTTTGCAGTGGGCCGATATTTATTAGTGCATTTATACTTTCCTTCCACCGCTAATTGTGTAACTTCTAATCATTGATTAAAATCAAATAGGCATTGAATAAGACCACAGGGCTGGGCTAGCAAGTACCTAGAACTCCTCCTTGCCTATCATTCTCTCATTTGTTTAAGATGATAAGAAAGAGGAAAGCCTATTTTTTTTTATTACTATCCATATTATAAAAATAATAAATTGTATATTAGTCTGTTTGGGCTGCTATAACAAAAATGCCTTAGACTGGGTAACTTAAAAGAACAGAAATTTATTCCTTGAAGTTTTAGGGGCTGGGAAGTCCAAGATCAAGGTGCCAGCAGATTTGGTGTCTGATGGAGGCTAACTCTGCTTCATAGATGGCGCCTCTTTCTGTATCCTCACACATGGCAAGGGGCAGGGCAGCTCCTGTCAACCTCTTTTGTAAGACTAAAAGACTAATCCCATCCATAAGGGCTCTACACTCTTAACTTAATCACTTCCGGCAGGCCCCTCTCTTAATACTGTCATATTGGTGATTAAGTTTCAGTATATGAATTGTGGGGGGACACAGATCATAGTAAATTGCCTGATTAAAACTGACAAAAGCAAATAGAAATGATTTCTCATTTCCCCTTCAACCCATGTACGTCAAGTAGCTTTTCCCAACGAGTATTCACAGAGTTAAGATCTACAGAAAATGATTTGAGTGACTATTTTCTCAGTTGTTTCAAGATATAACTGGTAACTTTTTAGACAC